AGCTCGCTCAGCTGTCTATGCTTAGTTTCGTATGAGCGGAAGTGACGTATCAGAGATTGTCTAACGTCACTTCCGGGTAAGAGACATCGCCATTTTAAGTGTGGCTTAGTAATTCGGGACAAGTTCATGGTATCCAGAATATTAAAAAAAACAGAACATTAAGCACTCGATCTTAATAAAGACATTTATAAGTGCAGTCCATACATAATTATTTTGCTGCCCTTATAAATGTCTTTATTAAGATCGAGTGCTTAATGTTCTGTTTTTTTCTGTTTTGCTCCCTCAAAACTTGTAAGATCTGTGGCATTGTGCTGTGTGATAAAACTGTACATTTTAGAGTGGCCTTTTATTGTGGCCAGCCTAAGGCACACCTTTGCCATAACTCAAGAAGATTTACAAAAATATTTTCTAGATAAGCATTTGCCCAAATTAACATATTCACAAATAAGTAAATTGAATGAGGATATTTCAGCCCAAGAAATTATAGAGGCTATTGAAGCAATGAAAAAACTAAAGCACCAGGCCCTGAGGGGTATGTGGATTTTTTCTATAAAATCTACAAAGACAGGCTCGTTCAGGGTTTAAGGGAATGCTATAATACAGCTATGTCCACGGGGAAATTGCCACAAGAGATGTTAGCAGCTAATATCGCTCCTATATTTAAACCAAAAAAAAATCCAGAAGAGATTGCCAATTATAGGCCAATAGCTTTGCTAAATAATGACTATAAAATTTATGCATCAATTATATCTAAAAGAATTAAAAGTAAAATTACGAGCTTAATATCGGAAGATCAAGTAGGATTTGTTCCCGGGAGATCATCGTCTAAACATATCAGGAAAATTATAAATATCTATGCTAAGGTACATGCCACAAAAACCCCCTTTCTTACTATGGCACTCGATGGAGAGAAAGCCTTTGATCGGGTTAACTGGAACTACATGAAATCAACCCTAGAGGCTTTTGGTTTTTCGTGACAGATCTTTTCGGCAATTATGGCCCTTTACTCCTTTCCATCAGGCAGGATAGTGGGAGGGGGAATTAGGTCGGATTGGTTTGAGATTTCAAACGTACACGTCAGGGATGCCCACTATCCCCACTTATTTACATCATAGTGGCGGAACCATTGGCTCATGACATACGTTTGAACATTATTATAACAGGCTCCCATAAGAAAGATAAAGATCTAAAGATAAGCCAGTACACTGATGATATTCTGTTAACATTATCGAATCCAGCTCATTCGGTTCCAGCAGTAATGGAAGAAATGAAGCAGTTTAGCTTTCTTACAAACTTTAAACTTAACATTCAAAAAACAGTAGTATTGCCTTTATATATGGATGTGGCTGAATATAATTTCTTAAATAAACAATATGATTTTAGATGGGAGAGGAAAAGTTTTGTATATTTGAGGATAAACATAGTTCATGACCCTGAAAATATTATGAGAGCCAATCTAATCCCTTTAATAAAATAAACCACTCATCTCCTTAAACTATGGAGTAAACTTGAGATATCCTGGTGGGGAAGAATTAACTCTATAAGGGCTTACATCGATTCAACCTCACTGGCTAACAAATATTAATAAGATTTTCAGAAATTATATTTGGCTTAACAAGAAGCCCAGAATAGGATAAGAATTTATGTATTTAAAATATAAACAAGGGGGAACAGGATTTCCTAATATTTTCTTGTATCATCAAGCTGCCCAGCTGATGCATACAGTAACTACAATTAATCAAGACAAACATCCACAGGATTGGTATGAATTAGAGGGAAAGGATATTTCGGAACCACATAATATAGTTAAACTGTTGTGGCCTATAAAAATCTTAGCCTGTAATAAATATAAGTTATGTCAAACAGACAACATAATATTAAAACCTCAGGTTAAATACTGGACTTATCTCAAAAAACAAATGGATTTGAAAGATAAAATTTTGCCGGCATTACCGTTTAGATATCTGAGGAAATGGATAGAAAATATAGACGTAAGTCAGTGGACTAGACATGGCATTAATAGAACTTCAGATCTATTTGATAAAAATAATATTATGTCCTTTAACAATCTTTGCACTGTTTTCAGCATCGCAATATCCCAGAACTTTAGTTTTATAAGAATAAAAAGCTTCTTACATAGAGTTGTACCTCATTTGAATGAGCATTCTCCAGCTTTTAAATTGAATAAACTGATAAATTCGGAAAAAAATACAAAGTTATTAACAAATTGCGTTGAGATATTAAATTCAATTAAAGTGCAGACCCATCCTCCAGCTAAGACTAAGTGGGAAAGGGATCTGCAAATTAAAATTGATCTAAGAGATTGGAATATGGCCCTTCAGTCGGTAGACTCCACAGTGCATTGTTTAAACATTATGGAGGCACATTACAAATTACTAAATAGATGGTATATGACACCGGCAAAGATACAAAAGTTTTCAAATTCAGAAAGTCTGTGGTGTTGGAGATGTGGTGCAGAAGACGCAGATGAAATACATATATGGTGGAACCGTATACCACTAAGGAGAGCATGGGATTGTTTTTTAGTTAAAATTTATAAAATATTGGGCATTACACAAAAATGGGTACCAGAAATGGTACTGCTACATCTAAAATTACCACAACTAGCGAAAGATGAGAAATGTTTCTTAATTCACGCATTGATGGCTTTTAAATTGTCTATTGCCAGGAATTGGAAAAAGACGACAATAGATTCATGGCAACAATGTAAAGAAGCCATTATTCATCAATGTAAGATGGAAAGAGAAATATCTTCTAATTTCTGTATTAGCACGGAGAAGTATAAGATTTGGGATAAATGGATTAAGATTCTTGAAAGATCTTTATCATATATCTGAATGACACAAGTATCAAAAGGAAAGGGAAAATAATAAGGAAAGGAAAAAAAAATGTGGGGGGGAAGAAATAGGAAAGAAAAATGAATAATGAATTTCTAAGAGAAGGATAATAAAACCAGGATAGGATAAAAGCTATAACTCAGAAATGCGCTGTTCTGACTGTTTTTGTATGTTTTTATGTTTATTTGTAACAATGTATGATATGTGACAATCATCCTTTTGAACATTTATGTTTGTAAATCGTGTATTTTTATACTGTTATTGAAAAAACTCAAATAAATTATTACAAAATAAATAAATAAATAAATAAAATGCACCTGTGTTCATTGTCCATAACTTACGCCTGCCCATACCATATCTCCACCGTCACCATGGGCCTCTCGATCAACAACACTGACATCAGCAAACTGCTCACCCACATAACGCCATACACGCTGTCTGCCATCTGCCCTGTACAGTGAAAACCGGGATTCATCTGTGAAGAGAACACCTCTACAAAGTGCCAGACGCCAACGAATTCGGTTACGACGACGAACTGCAGTCAGGTCGAGATCCTGATGAGGACGACGACCATGCAGATGAGCTTCCCTGAGACGGTTTCTGACAGTTTGTGCAGAAATTTCTTGGTTATTCAAGCCAATTGTTGCAGCAGCTGTCTGGGTGGCTGGTCTCAGACGATCTAGGAGGTGAAGAGGCTGGATGTGGAGGTCCTGGGCTGGTGTGGTTGTCAGGCCAGTTGGATGTACTGCCAAATTCTCTGGAATGTCTTTGGAGACGGCTTATGGTAGAGAAATGAACATTCAATTCACGGGCAACAGCTCTGGTGGACATTCCTGCAGTCAGCGTGCCAGTTGTACACTCCCTCAAAACTTGCAACATCTGTAGCATTGTGCTGTGTGATAAAACTGCACATTTTAGAGTGGCCTTTTATTGTGGCCAGCCTAAGGCACACCTTTACCATAACTATGCTGTCTAATCAGCATCTTGATATGCCACACCTGTGAGGTGGATGGATTATTATCATTATTATTTTATTATTTATATAGCGCCAGCAAATTCCGTAGTGCTGTACAATGGGTGGACTAACGGACACATAATTGCAACCAGACAAATGAACGCACAGGAGCAGAGGAATTGAGAGCCTTGCTCAATGAGTTTACATGCTAGAGGTAGTGGTGTATAGTGACACAAATGGTCTAAGTAGGGGTAATGAAATAGGTTGCTAGAAAAGTAATCACTGAGCCTTATTAGGTTATTTTTGACAGTTGCAGGAGTTTACTCTCCAAATAAAGTATTTTAGCCCCCAGAGAACCGGACACACCTATACATGGGTGGTATCACTGTACTCAGGAGATGTTGCTGAACACATATTGGGGTGGGGCTTTGTCCGTAACACATAACAGGAACTGATAATCAATATAAAAAATAGGCTGTGTATCATATTTTTCGTAGATAAATAATTTTAGATTTATTGACTGAAGGTATCTACACGTGGCGTTAGTTATTTATGGAAAAGTTCTTTTACAGAGGCTTGTTGCTATGGAGGTCAACAGGTATTCTTTTCGGATCGTTGAACCTTAGAATCCCTTTTGAAATCCATTAACTGTATCCTTTAAACCAGTGGAAATCAACTAATGCCTTCAGGAGAGAGATTTTACTGCCAGCGACAATGATCTCATCATTGACATTGATTGAAAGCACAATATATTGCACAGACAAACATTAACACTCAGTTGTATTGAATGCCATGCTTTAGAATGATAGAACAAGAGAATTTTTCTGAAGGACATTAGGGACAGATGGTATTAGCATTGATTCACTTAAAAAAAAAACTACAATGTAAATAAAATAAAAGTAAAATACAAAACTCAAGTGAAGGTTGTTCACTTGACAAAGAATCATGGAGAACGAGCATGTGATTTGAAAATTACTAGATTTTACTAATTTCATGACGTAAAGTCATGATTTTATTAAGGACACGGAGGTGAGTATAATGCTTATTCTCTTTCTTTTTATTCCTCAGCAGCAAAAATATTTATTTTATAGAAACAAATCAAACATGTAAACATGCACCCAATGGGTTAATCATATAACAGTACAACCAATCATAATGCCTTCAGCACCATCAACTCCCCATGTGACCTTTCTTGGTGTTGTCGACAAAGAATCCACAGCAGAACATATGTCAACTTGAAGGAACAAAATGCCAAGAACGCCACGGAGAAGAATCTGGTACTCTTCAGAAGCTGAGATCTTCCCGTAAGTCCTGAAGGAACCCGTGCACAACGGTGCCAAAACCATTAATGAAGCTGAAAGGAACAGAGAAACAAACTGGTAAAATATGTTTCTGGACATCTGATCATTACCATAGTACAGAATTAAGCATCGGAACATATGCCACCAATAAGAGATTATCATCTAACCAAACCTTTCAATACACGCAATGTGCTGTAGTAACCTAAATCCGTAGTAACTTAATGACCACACATCCATGGGAGGGCGCCACTTACCTGCATCAGGTGGGATAATACTTGCCTCTGTGTCCTTAATAAAATCATGACTTTACGTCATGAAATTAGTAAAATCTGGTCATTTTATTAAAGGACACGGAGGCTCATATTATGCTAGTTCAAAGCTGTGAAACAACCACATCAGAAAAATGAGAAATTGGCCGAAAATAAAACTCCTTGAAGGTAGATTCGTGGGACCAATCCTTTGGAGAAAGTCTTAGCTGCCATGGCTCCCCTGACCGAGTGTGCTCCATACACTGAAGTGTCGATGTCCGCTGATGCCATAATCCATTTGACCCAACGAGACAATGTGACTGCCAAAACAGGGTGATATGGATGACGAAGGGCCAAGAAAAACTCCGGATATGCAGGGTCACGAGTTGAAGAAGTCTTGGACTTGTATTCCTTGAGACATGCCACTGGACATAGCTTAGAGTTTTGTGGAAAGGCCGGGTAGAAAACTGAGGTGATTGACGTCTTCATACGCCTGGATATATTAAACGAGACACATTCGGGGGTGAATGAATGTGCAGAGAGGTCCAACGCATGCACATCGGACACCCGTTTACAGGAGATCAAACAAAACAACATCACCAACTTTGCTGTGAGTTGTTTCAGTGAGAGATCTTCGTTCTTTGGCCAGTCTCCCAGAAGCAAGGTCAACATCCCATGATGAAGAGTACCTAGGTTGCGGTGGACGTGCAAATCTAATGCCGTGCAGGAGTCGGCATACGAGGAGATGTTTACCTGCCGGGGAACTATCCAATCCTTGATGTCCTGCAGAAATAGCCGATCGGTACACATTTATCGTGCGATAGGCTAGGCCATGGTCAAACAGAGAAGTGAGAAATCTCAAAACGTGACTTACAGGTGCAGATAAGGGATCCATGTGTTGTTCCATGCACCAACCACTCCATGAATTTCAGGCATGTATGTAGGATTTCCTTGTCCCCGGAGCCCAAGCTCCCGCCAGATGGTCAATAGTTGTCTGTGGAACATCTGGGATGAATCCAAGTCCCCGGAGAGGAGCCATGCCAGTAACTGGAGGTGTCCCTGTAATAGCAGGGAGTGTGGTTCCCCGTTGGGGTCCAATAAGGGGTCCGGAGAGGTTGGAAGTAGTCTTGGGTAGTCCATGGACATTTCCATGAGTGTAGGGAACCATGGTTGAGCCGTTCAGAATGGGGCTATAAGAATCATGGAGGTTAGGTAGTGTCTCAGATGTAGAAGCGTCCTCGCAATCAAGGCGAAAGGGGGGAAAGCGTACATTCGCATGTCCGGCCACCGTTGAAGGAATGCGTCTGATGCCACGCCTCTGGATCAGGTCTCCAACTGAAGAACTTCAGTAGTTGGGAGTTCAACCGTGATGCGAAAAGGTCGATCTCCAGTGGGCCCCAGAGTGACTGGAGTCGCAGGAAAATGGCCCGCTTCAGTCGCCAGTCGCTGGCATCCTGTTGGTATCTCGAATTCCAATCCGCCACCATATTGGACATCCCGGGAAAGTATTACGCCTGAACCGAAATATTGCGATCCAGGCAGAAGTGCCAGAAGTCCTTTGCTAGTTCCGCTAACACCACGGACCTCATACCCCTGAGATGGTTGATGTAGCGGACTGCTGACACGTTGTCCATCCATAAAGAATGGAACAGTTGGTTGAGATACCTACGAGACTCCAAGCTGCAAATGACCCCGCCAATAGTTCGAGGCAATTGATGTGTAACTCCTGTTCGTTTGGGGACCATTTCCCTCTGGTGGAGATAGGACCGCAACGCGCGCCCCAGCCCAGCATACTTGCATCTGATTCCACGACAAAGTCTGGCCTCGTCCCAAAGATTGCTCTTCCGTTTCATGCTTCCATGTGCTGCGGCCACCAAGAGAGTTCTTCTTTGGCTGCGCAATTGAGAGGCAAAGAGTCTGAATAAGAGAGACCCGAGCGAAGGTATTTTGCCTTTAGGCGTTGAAGGGCCCTGTAGTGAAGTGGGCCCGGGAAAATGGCCTGGATGGAGGCAGAGAGAAGACCGATGACCCTGGCCAGTTGTCGTAGTGTTAGCGCAGGTCGAGCCAACGTCCAGCGGATTTCTTTCTTGATGATCCTGACTTTGGATGATGGTAACAGAAGTGTCCCTTCCACCGAATCGATGGTGAAGCCCAGGAATTCCAAGATTTGGGAGGGTTGTAACACCGACTTGTCCCAGTTAATGAGGAAACCAAGGTTGCCGAGTAATGTCTTTGTCCAATTCAGGTGTTCTTGGAGTAAGCATGGGTCTTGTGCTATCAGAAGCATGTCGTCCAAGTATATAATCAGACGCACCCCTCTGCTGTGCAAGAGAGCGACCACTGGCCGCATGAGCTTTGTGAAGCACCACGGGGCCGAGGAGAGGCCGAAGGGCAAGCATTTGAAACGCCATGTGGTCTCCTCCCATCGGAAATGGAGGAAATGTTGGCAATCCTCGGCCATCGGGACGGTGAGGTACGCATCTTGCAGGTCGAGTTTTACCATCCAATCCTCCAATAGGAGCAGGTCTCGGAGAAAGTGGATGCCCTCCATTTTGAAGTGGTAGTACGCTACAAAGGCATAAGTTGATGACTGGTCGGACACCTCCGCCTTTCTTGGGCACTACGAAAAGGTTGCTTAGAAAACCTGAAACTCTCGGATGCGTCTCTATGATTGCACCTTTGTTGGCAAGAGACTGTATCTCCGCTGCGATTAATGCTTTGTCGTGGGTGGAGGAGACTATATGTCTGGGAAGAGATATTTGGGCAGGTGTTTGTACAAATTCTATGGCATAACCCACTACAGTTTGTAGGACCCAAGTATCCAAAGTCAACATGCACCAGGCATCTATAAAGTGGCATAACCTGCCCCCCACCAACGTTACTGAAGGTAGTGATGAAGGAAGTGAACTTACCATAAGGACGTCAGCCATAGGAAGAGCCTCTGGATCCACGAGCCTGCCAGGGTCTTCCTCGAACTGGGAAGAATGGAGAGGACTTGGGTTCCGTACCCTGGTAACGTGACTGGAAGGAGCCACTAGAAACCCAGTATGAGTCCCGGGAGGAACGGCCGGGCAGACGGCCCCGATATCTGCCGGCCCCACCAAAAACTCTATGGGAGAATACCTTTTTCATATTGGCTTACGCTTTGTTCAATGCAGTAAATGTGCCCACATAGGTACCCAGCTCCTTCACAAAACTGTCCCCAAAAAGAAGGCCTTTGGCCTGTGGCCCAGGCTCAGTAATAGCCAAGGTAACTAGCTTTGGCTCAATCTTTCGTCTCTCCATGGCTAGAGCCACGTTGGCATTTCCAAGAAGACATATGGCTCGCTGTATCCAGCCCCTGATAGCTAGCAGGTCTGCAGGAGCACCACCTGCCAATGACATTTCAACCATGTCAAATATCTTTGCACTGGGTCCGAGGACATCCAGTACCTTATCCTGGCAATGGTGAAGTACAAAGTCTAGACCTTTCTTTGCCTTCCATCCAGTTTTTCCTAGGAACTGGGCAATCTTAGGGTCCACTACAGGAGCGATACATATCAAATCTAGGAGCGTGAGGCATGGGCATTCTGCCCGCATCTTGCTTCATGCCACCTTATCAAGGGGTTTCCTGATCCTTGTGGCAACATATTTTGCCACATGGTCCAGCAGGAACCACTCAGTTGATATTGGGTGTTGTAAAGTATCAGGGTCAAACAGTGGTTCGCCCTGTGGGTAAAGGAGGGAGTCTTCCCCACCGTCCTTATCCTCATTCACAGACAAAGATAGAGAGCTGTGGTCAGGGAATAGTGTGCCCAAATTGTATGAGTCCTCATCATCAGACTCGCTCCATGCCTCCTCACCGATTTTGCCCGTTGGGTGGATCTTTGTTGTGGTGTGCGCTAGTGTTAGTGTGTGTGATAGTGTTAGACTGTGTGTGTGTGTTAGTGTTAGAGTGTGTGTGTGTTAGTGTGTGTGTTAGTGTGTGTGTGTTAGAGTGTGTGTGTTAGAGTGTGTGTGTTAGTGTGTGTGTTAGTGTTAGAGTGTGTGTGTGTGTTAGAGTGTGTGTGTGTGTGTTAGAATGTGTGTGTGTTAGTGTGTGTTAGTGTGTGTGTGTTAGAGTGTGTCAGTGAGTGTGTTACTGTGTGTGTCTGTTACTGAGTGTGTTAGTTTGTGTGATTTTTACCATCCAATCCTCCAATAGGAGCAGGTCTCGGAGAAAGTGGATGCCCTCCATTTTGAAGTGGTAGTACGCTACAAAGGCATAAGTTGATGACTGGTCGGACACCTCCGCCTTTCTTGGGCACTACGAAAAGGTTGCTTAGAAAACCTGAAACTCTCGGATGCGTCTCTATGATTGCACCTTTGTTGGCAAGAGACTGTATCTCCGCTGCGATTAATGCTTTGTCGTGGGTGGAGGAGACTATATGTCTGGGAAGAGATATTTGGGCAGGTGTTTGTACAAATTCTATGGCATAACCCACTACAGTTTGTAGGACCCAAGTATCCAAAGTCAACATGCACCAGGCATCTATAAAGTGGCATAACCTGCCCCCCACCAACGTTACTGAAGGTAGTGATGAAGGAAGTGAACTTACCATAAGGACGTCAGCCATAGGAAGAGCCTCTGGATCCACGAGCCTGCCAGGGTCTTCCTCGAACTGGGAAGAATGGAGAGGACTTGGGTTCCGTACCCTGGTAACGTGACTGGAAGGAGCCACTAGAAACCCAGTATGAGTCCCGGGAGGAACGGCCGGGCAGACGGCCCCGATATCTGCCGGCCCCACCAAAAACTCTATGGGAGAATACCTTTTTCATATTGGCTT